CTGTTATTTTCGTTTTTTGCTGACGAAAAATGCTGGCTTTGTTGAGACAGTAAAAGTAGTAGATCCAAATTCCGAGTATTCACGAAATGCGCGTTTTTTGAAGGTAAATTTGGAGTGTCGCGAAAGCATGAAGTGGATAACCACTTCCTGACGGAGCGTTTTTTGAAAAAAAATTTTTTTTTTGGTTTAAAAAAACTTGACTTGTTTAATATGGAAAAATAATACTTGTTATTTAGGATTAGGGAATTAGGCTGTATTCGCGAAATGCTTTCATAATTACGGTGTTAATAGGCAATAAGTGCACGCAGTTGCAGAAATTTTCAGCTGTTTCTAAGGCGTAGAGTATTTGAGTCAAAGTCATAAAACCCTCTACCTTCATCTTGTACTAGAAATTAGCCTGACTGGTATTACCTGCTAACAACAGCACTCGCTTGCAAGGCCTTCTACGGCTTTTTTTAGGACTCATTAAAAATAACCTGTTAAAAGTTTCGACTTCCTGGCACCTTTATAACTGTAACTACTTAACTGTAGCTGGTAACTATTCGTCACTGAAGCAAGTTGACGATTCGTCGAGGAACTGCTTATCCCAGTGACGGCTTTAACCTTTGATCCGTAACTTGAGAATAGCACAGATTGCCACCTCGTCACAAGTTTCCTGTCTATGTTACTTCCAGCTGCCTCTTCTGCTCGTAGAGATGTGAATATGGAGGAGATTTCGACTTGTAAAAGGAATATTGCCTGTTCAGAATTTCAGCTGAGGTATTTTTTTTTTTAGGGTTAAAGAAGGCTCGAAAATCGGAAAAGTTTTGGAGGCCGATATTCACAGTAAAATGGAAATTAAGTTCAAAATCAAAGAAGCAAGGACTGGCGATTCGATATTGGTCCATCAGGCTTTTGTAGCGTTCGTCCACAAAACTACTCGTCAAGAAATCATTTTTGTCGCCACACCGGATCGTGATAATAACTACGTTTTTGACGCGGTATTTTTGAGTTTTTGTTTTACTTTCTGCTCATTCTTTCTTAAAAAATCATAAGTTTTTATTCGATCTAATCAATTCATAATTTGTATTTTTTTTAGGATTTCGAGAAAGTAGCGAAAGATTTCGAAGGTTTGTCAGGCAAATATGAGGTACGA